CCCCCTAACCTATCGAACTCGCAATTTTCCCCCTCTGGCCCCCCTGCCCGAAAACGCGAAACACCGGGAATACTTTCCCGGATGTTTCCCCCTTCACCAGTATCACCTCATACCGCGTTAGGGCACCTCTAGCACCGATACTTGTCATGTCATGCATCGCTATGCACCTGCTTGCTTAAATATTTATTGTTTCTTCCCCCTCTTCTCTCCGGTAGACTACGAGACCGACGCTGCTGCTGACCAGTTCGACTACGGAGTTGACGACCCCTCCCTCTTGCCAGAGCAACCAGGCAAGCCCCCCCTTTGATCACCAGATATCGCCTACTCTTCTCTATACTGCTTGCATTAGAGTAGTGTAGCATGTTACTGCTTTCCGTTAATCCTATTCTGATGCATAGTCTGTCATTGCTGCTACAGTCATTGATACCTTACCCGCAATCCTAAATGCTTAGTATAGGATGCTAGTGTTCCATCAGTGACCCTACACTCTTGTCCGTCTGCCATGCTATACTACTGGGCTGTGATCACTTCGGGAGGTGATCACGGGCATATACTATATACTTTATACTGTTACATTACCTGTGATACTGTTCGGAGTTGGGGGCTGAAAGGACAGGTGGCTCCATCCCGGTAGAGGTGGGCCTGGGTTCCTGACGGCCCCCGACTGTTACTTTGTGGCAGAGCGGCAGGGCAGGTTGAGACCGCCTAGGAGACAGGTGGGCCTGGCCCTGTTCGGCGTTCGCGGATACTTAACACGCTTAACGAGATCTTGGTATTTGATCTGAGTCGGCTACGAGCCTATACGCACTAACCATCTACGCGGGAGTAGTTATGGGTATCCCGGCGTCGTGGTATCAGCCGAAGCCTTCTTGACGTCAGCGACTGAGTGGCGCGCGCCGGGTTGAACTGTGTTAACGCAACTTCCTTTGTAATGGAGGTTGCTAGGTCTGCTCACCGGCCGCGTACGCAACGTGCAGGTGTGCAATGGGCGATGGGCCCAGACCCCTGTGCGCATAGGATTTAGACCGGCGTGCCGACCTCTCTGTTGTGCCTAGGTGGGGCTGCGACGTGTTGATCTTCCGAGGCCGGGCATGACCCAGGAAAGTGTGTCCGGCCAAATGGGATCAAGCGTGTTGGGTTATGTGGTGCACCCCTGCAGGGAAGTTAATCTATTCGAATAGCCGTGATCTTCGGTAACAGGACGACTTGGAGTTGTACCTTGACCTTATGACAACTAGAACCGGATACTTAATAAAACACACCCTTCCAAGTGCCAGATACAACCCGGTGATCGCTCTCTAACAGGGTGACGAGGGGAGGATCACCGGGTAGGTTTATGCTATGCGATGCTGCTTGGAGATGCTACTTGGAGATGCTACTTGGAGATGCTACTTGAGGATGCTACTTGGAGGACTACAATCTACTCTCTTCTATATGCTGCAAGACGGAGGCTGCCAGAAGCGTAGTCTTCGACAGGATTAGCTATCCCCCTCTTATTCTGGCATTCTGCAGTTCAGTCCACCGATATGGCCTCCTTACACATATACCCATGCATATGTAGTGTAGCTCCTTGCTTGCGAGTACTTTGGATGAGTACTCACGGTTGCTTTTCTCCCTCTTTTCCCCTTTCCCTTCTACCTGGTTGTCGCAACCAGATGCTGGAGGACTGGAGCCAGACGCCACCGTCGATGATGTCTACTACCCCGGAGGTGCCTACTACTACGTGCAGGCCGCTGACGACGACCAGGAGTAGTTAGGAGGATCCCAGGCAGGAGGCCTGCGCCTCTTTTGATCTGTATCCCAGTTGGTGCTAGCCTTCTTAAGGCAAACTTGTTTAACTTATGTCTGTACTCAGATATTGTTGCTTCCGCTGACTCGTCTATGATCGAGCACTTGTATTCGAGCCCTCGAGGCCCCTGGCTTGTATTATGATGCTTGTATGACTTATTTTATTTGTAGAGTTGTGTTGTGATATCTTCCCGTGAGTCCCTGATCTTGATCATACACATTTGCGTGTATGATTAGTGTACGATTGAATCGGGGGCGTCACATCCGCGAACTCACACGGTTCAGAACTTACTACCGGAAACGATTCCGGAGTTCCGGAGACGCAAGTATCGTGTGAAGTTAAGTCCATGTGCGGCTCCAACGCCGGGGAGTCTGTGGGCTCTGTGGTGGGGTTAAGCCTCTGGTCCTTGGATGGCGCAGTATGCTCCGGATCTAAAGCCAGAGTGGTTACATGAGCTATCTCCTGAATGTAATCCGATGACAGATTTAGGTCATGTTCATCGAGGTGACCAGGAGCGATCGCCGCGGTCTCAAATCCAGCGAAGATCAAATCTCCACGGATGTCCGTGATATAGTTCAAGCTCCCAAATCTGACCCGATGGCCAGGGGCGTAGCTATTGATCTGCTCCAGATGGCCAAACGAGTTGGCCCGCAGTGCGAAGCCGTCGAACACGAAAATTTGTCCGGGGAGAAAGGTTTCTCCTTGGACAGCGTCGTTGTTGACGATTGAAGGGGCCATCGAACCTTTTGGGGACGGCACAATGGAACTCTCAATGAAAGCACCAATGTCAGTGTCAAAACCGGCGGATCTCGGGTAGGAGGTCCCGAACTATGAGTCTAAGGTCAATGGTAACAGGAGACAGGGGACACGATGTTTACCTAGGTTCGGGCCCTCTCTATGGAGGTAATACCCTACGTCCTGCTTGATTGATCTTGATGAATATGAGTATTACAAGAGTTGATCTACCACGAGATCGTAATGGCTAAACCCTAGAGGTCTAGCTTGTATGGCTATGGTAATGAATCTATCTCCCTTCGGACTAAGTCCTCTGGTTTATATAGACACCGGGAGGATCTAGGGTTACACAAGGTCGGTTACAAAGAAAGGAATCTACATATTTGGTCGCCAAGCTTGCCTTCCACGCCAAGGAGAGTCCCATCCGGACACGGGTGCAGTCTTCGGTCTTCGTGTTCTTCACAGCCCATCAGTCCGGTCCATAGCTAATAGGCCGGACGCCCGAGGACCCCTTAGTCCAGGACTCCCTCACTTACTGCCGGTGGAGCCGACAACACTCTCATGCCGGAGACGAGGCGGGCGAGATGGAGATGAAGATGAAGGGGACAAGCAGATCTTGCTGCCTGAGATTTAAGTTCCCGTCGCCGCCGCTGCCGCATATCTGAGAAGCAGCCGCCTCCGATGCCAAGAACTAACGATGGATTTCTCCTATCGCTCAGGTGGACTAGTAAAAGGGGTGAGGCTAGATTTTATACCATCCCGCGCCGGCGGATTTCGGTCTCCCACCATCTCCCTGCCGAATCCACCCTGCACCGTCGTGCACGCCGTTCCCCTGTTGCGTTCGACTCGGCCTGACTCACTGGAAATGGTTGGTTCGAACATTGCTAGCGAGCAAATCTCTGGACTGCTTTAACGTTCATGCATGTATGGGCCAGGCTCTTGTGTACGCAACCAAACGAATTTTTTTACATCTAGCAAGTCTGTTTTGATTGAATGCATGCAACCAAACGCGTCCTTAGAAGCTACTCCCTCTGTAAATAAATATAAGAATGTTTAGATATTTATTTACAGAGAAAGTATATAGACATTGTAAATAAATATAACAGTGATCTAAACGCTCTTATATTTTCTTTATGCAGGGAGCACTTCTGTTAGCCAAGTTTCCTATGTTGTTGAATCGGGAGAGCCATGTATGGTTGGGCCAAGCCCACCATTTAAACTGTATCCCCTTGTGGTGAACTTTGATCAATAATAAAGCTTGGTTCTTCTATCCGACGTTGCGTAAAAGTATTGCACTTCCGGGCTTCCCCAGATGCGAAATTCAGTGTCTATATAGAATGCTTAAACGATTTTCTGCAATGCTGAGTTGGCGACTAGCCAGTATCATCACAGCTACAGGTTGAATGATGAAAACTGAGCAAAAAAACTTGCAATTACAACAACAAAAAAATGCCAGACGGGACAGATCAAATGCAGCAAAAGTGGCACTAAGTAACTTATGATTATATCCAGAAGAAGCTGCAAGCACCAAAACCCCTTTCGGCAACAAAGCATTCACCACCGGCCCTCTTGAAAAGTAAGTACAGCCGTACAGTCCAAAACATGATTGATCGAAATACGCTACGCAAAGGAATCCAGATGTCTTACAAATACGTATAATAAAGAACTGTTCTCCCTCAGGAATAATAACTGTTGATCTGGCTACACCGTCGACCTAACACCCAACTGCATTTTGACATATATGAGACGCACATGTTATTCGCAGGCCGACACTCAACAGCCGGACGCCCAGTCGCCCACCCACACTGTCCTACGCAACAGATTACAGATCAAAGGGGACGCGCCACTCCGAATGGCAAACATTATTAGCAACAAGGCGCCGGCCACCTAACAAGACCAAACACGTTTCGAGCTCAGCTTGATTGGCGATGATCAGTTTGCATTTCCACGCACATCCCCAAATGATCAGCTCCACTTTGACAGCTTGAAATGTAGTAATTTCAAAGGCACACACGTGAGGATGCGACAAAAGGTGAAGCGGCCACGCTCCCCATTGCAAACAAAACATTTCGCCTAATGAGATACAGTTAACTCACTAATCCAGAGAGAATGTCCTGGAGCAGAATCCAATCGTGTAGAGAGAGAGAGAGAGAGAGGAGAGGCAACATGGAAGAAGAAGAGAAATCATTTCCTATACAATTTGTCTAGCAGAGTTGCACAATCACCAACCAGGTGCGGGACATCTCACCAGTCAGCAGGTGCAGCCATTGCAGTTGCACAGAGAGGATTTGTGCAGCATGCTGGCGATTCGCAAGCAGAGATCATAACGATGAAGAAGAAATCTCCAGATTTTCGTTCGGCTGGCGACGTGATCTCCACCGGAAGCACACGACGGAGAAGTATCATCACGGTCAAGTGTTCTACTAGTGGTTAACAGAGGAAGAAGAATGCCTGAGAAATCATCGCCGCAATGAAATCACACTGGAGGGCCTGGATCCTTCCCTCTTCCGCCACCCTTGCCGCTGAAGCACGACCTGCCAGCCGGCGGCAGCTTCTTCGTCGGTGCATCCGGCGCTGCTCGGCCGCCGCCGTCCTTGCTGTGCTCCCCGTGGCACCGCCTCGAGGAGCCTGCCTGCGGGAGGCCGCCCTCCCTGGCCACCGTACGCTCGTCTTCTGGGCTGGCCTGCAGCACGTCGGCAATGGACATGCGGGCTTCACGCTGCGTGTCCGGCATCGACGGCGGCGCCCTGGCCGGAGCCGGCGGGGCGGCGCCGTCCTCTCTGATCTCGACCACTACGCCATTGGCCGCCTCGGATCTCCCCGGGCGATCCTTAGCCTCCTGATTGTCGCCGCCGTTGCTGCTCGGCACGGTCTGTGGCTCTTCGCGCGCTTGCCCGGAGGAGTAGTCGTCGATCGTCAGAGCGAATTCTTGGCTGCCTCTCCGGTCCTCCCGTGGCGCAGGCGCAGCACGGCCCTCCGGCTCCGGCGAAACCATGCCGACGGCGACGAAGGCGATGTTGCAGCGGCAGAGCGGGCAGTTGGAGTGCGACTTGAGCCAGGTGTCGATGCACGGCAGGTGGAAGGCGTGGCTGCACTTGGGCAGCAGCCGCAGGCTCTCGCCGTCCCGGAACTCGCCCAGGCAGACGGAGCAGTCGGTGGAGTCGACGAACCCGTCGCCGCGCTTGTACTTGCACACGGTGATCTTGCTGATCAGCGTCTCGTCCATCCCGTCCGACGGCGCGACCTCCCACTCCTCCTGGCCCCTGGAATCGCCGCGGCCGTCGCCGCCGCCCCCGCCACCCCCGCCGCGGCCGGCGCCGGGGCCAAAGAGTCTGTTCCGCAGGGAGCTGAAGGTGCCGCAGTACTTGGAGATGATGGTGTAGTAGCTGACGAGGAGGAAGGCGCTGGCGAGCACCCCTATGATGGCGATGACGAGGGGCGAGAAGGCGGGGCCGGAGGAGTCGTCGCCGTCGCCGCTGGGGCCGGCGATGTCGAAGACCGGCGGCGGGGGCGGGAAGATGAAGTAGCACCACTGCGGGCAGTACATGCTGCACAGGCCCTGGGAGCAATCCCTCGTCGGCTCGTAGGGCATCCACGTCGGCTGCGGCCCAAGAGCCATCGGAGCCGGAGGAGGATTGAACATTGCGGCCATGGAAGACCAAGAAGATGGAGAAGAATCACAGGGAACAGAGACGAGAGGAGCAAATCTCTGCTCCGTCAGGCCATGCTGAGCCTGCCAAGCTCTAGAACCGAGAGGATCTGCATGAGTTTCTGGGCCGACGAATTGTGGCGACTGGCGAGGGAGATGAGAGAAGCAAAGCAAGAGGGAAGATGAGTGGCTATCCTGTCTGTGACAGTCTCTGCTTGCAGCTTGGTGCTCTGCTGCTTTACAGGCGTTGGGGAGTGTGAAAGGCGAGGGAGGGAGGGGGAGAAGGGGATCGATCGATGATGAGATGAGATGAGATGCTTCCACCAGCTGCTGTGCTATGCTACCTTGCCCGCTGCTGAGAGTGGGAGGGGGTACTCGATCTGGTGCTGCTCAAAGTCTGAAATTCTGGAAGAAATGGACCTGTGCGTGCTTGTCTGGAAAGCAACGAATTTTTGGGATTGGGGGAGGTGGTGGCGGTGGTTGGGACTGAGGCCTTCGGTGCCGTCCTACGGGTCACATAGGCTGCTCTGCTCTGATTTCGTTTTCCTTTTTTCCTTTTCATCGGGTGGTTGATGCTGCTCCTCTCATCTCTGCTTCGTTTTGTCTCCTTTGGAATACAAGGGAAATGAGGTGTTTGGATCGTCAGATGATAAAGTAGGAATAACCCGGAGTCCGGAATGACCACTTCAGTAGTTCAATGAAGCTGTGAACGGATAAAGTGAACGAGTGATATTCCAAAAAAGGAAAAACGAGTGATACACTTGCAGCAACGCCAATGCAGGGTGCAGATCACCTTCAAATCGTAAGAACATCTTCAAGAACAATGGTCAAATTTGACTCTCCGTATGTCTGCGGTCAGTAGGAGGCTGAGCTTAATTTATTCCTCCCTACAACGGTGTCCCCTATTTCCCTCTTTCTAATTCCATGAAACCTCATGCACTAGGTAGCTCATTTTTTTTATAATGATAAATATAGCACACACAAATTCAACAATTCAAACAAGCCAACATAATCCACGACAAATAATTCAACAATTCATTCATCAACGATATTAAATGAATCAAGTTTCTTTTGCACGCGTGCATTGATGTCTTTGCACACGGTGGTGATCCACTCCTTGGCATCGTCATCCATTAGGCTTGTGTCGACCAATATGATTCTTGACTCCTTGGTGAATCTCGCGAGCCTCACCTTCTCTCTCTCAATCTCAATGTTGCCCACCGCAATCGTCTTCTCAAGCTCCATATGGTCCGTGTCCTCATCTTCTTCATTTTCATCCTCTTCTCCTCAATTACCAACCTCCCCCTCGCCTTCTCTTTGTCGGATTTCATCATATCACTTTGGACATCCAAGTAGAGTTTGTATCTCTTATGTTTCTCCTCGATGTCGTTTTTTCCCTTCAAATTCACGTCTTTGTTGGAAAGGAGCTACGCCCACGTGGACGACAACAAGCTACTCGTGTGTCGGGGTGTTGTGATTTAACTCGTGACAGGGGTCGAGAGAGGGTGCAACTGGAGATTGATTGGCAAGAGGTTCAGTGACTTTGGGAATCAAGGTCGAAACAATCTTTGACACACCATATCCTTTGTGAAATGGGGGAGATAGTGAGTTCTTTCCAGGGATTTAAGCTTCAACATATTTGTAGGCAGGAAAATGAGGTAGCTCATCAAATTGCGAAGGAAGCTTTAAACATCGAGAACCTTGTAATAAATTATGATGTAATCACTGGCTTTCTGTTTTGCACTTTGCAAACAGATATGCCTTCGCCAGTTGAATAAGAGCCTTAGGGCAGAGAGTGTTAAAAACATATGATTATTAACTTAAGTTTCATGACAGAAGACTAAAGATACAATTAGGTAATATGTCAGACCCACTGTATTTTTTTGAAGAGTGGATAGCCTTGGCCTCTACATAATCATGATGCACACAACCATAATTTATTGAAGTGTAATAAAGTTTTACAAAGAAGTCTCAACAATAATAAAAAAACAAAATGATAGGACCACAATCGGCTGACGAAAGGATTACATGACTCAACCACATAATCTATTAATTAGATGCCATCCAAACTCAGTGTCTTACTAAATTAATTGCACAATCTTCTCTAATTCAAACACATTTATGTTCTATTAGTCAACTTTACAAGAAAACATTATTCATTTAAGATAGCATATGATATAATCATCACAAAGTGCCGTACGAAATAAGACAACTAATAATTCACATGAAAAAAGTTACTAATGGTTCACAACATTATTTTAATTTTCATTGAAGCAAAGGTTTGAAAGGCCATGGCATGTCTAATCTTTCTATACGAAAAGGACTGAAATATATTATAAAAGTTCAGCGCAAGTACAAAGCGTAGCCCGGTGCATGTAGCTTCCGCTTGCGCAGGGTCCAGGGAAGGGTCCGACCATTTTAGGTCTTTAGTACGCAGCCTTACCCAACATTTCTACAAAAGGCAGCAGCTTTACCGCTGCGCCAAGGCTCCCCTTCCAGCGCAAGTACAAAGCATTCCAATAATAATAATAATAATAATAATAAATAAATTGAGGTTTCTGGATCACCAAACGATCACTATCGTCATTAGAACAAGATGCCGACACGTTGCTGTTGCGCCTCCCATATCGGAGCTGACCTGACATGTCATTGACAACCAAGAAGTCTTCATGCACACGCCTCTAAGGACTAATGCTCAGAGTTGCAGTTGTCGCCGTTGAACCCTTGAATCAATTCGAAGAACCAAACACCAAATCTCGTCATTGCGTACGCACGATGAGAAAACCCTAACCTTGTTGCCCCAAGAAGCTGACATAAATCTACGTCAGATTTCCGTCTAGTCGTCCTGATGGATGAACTTGAGGAGGATCGGAACCCGGACAACTGAATCCTAACCTATCCACAAACCGAAGCAGAGGCACTCGTATCCCCTCTTGCCACTGTCTGTCGGAGCGGCAAACAGAAGAGAGGCGAACCCATAGAGTAACTGACGAAGATTGAAGAATTGAAGCTTTTACTCTAGTCACCCTGCGACTTGCGAGAGAGGAAAGAAAGACGTGTCCATGGTCTATTTGAACGCCGAGTGCTGAAAGTGGTGTGTCTAAGTCCTTGTTTAGAAGTACTAACTAAAATTAGTCTCCAATCGCCATTATCAAGGAAGTTAAGAAGGGGCTACATGCATCACTCAGATGCAAAGATCGGGGATGATCCTTTTTTTTAAAAAAAAGAAGAAAATCAAGGAAGTTAAGACAACGGCGTCCACTCTACCTCCCTGACCGCTTTCTCCATGCTTAATTCTCCCTCTTGCGACACTTACCCTTCCTTCTGTCAAAGCAAGTCATCAATCAGTTTGAGTTGGTACAGCTACACGAGACTGGGGCCACCTAACCCCTACTTCTTCTCAGGACTCACGACCATATTGACCTACCAAACTTCTGTAACGATAATGATACACCTACGAAGGCTAACGTAAATTCTTACGTAGCCTTCCCACAATAATTCTATCCCCTTCCTGATTTTAAGTGGGGTGGGCCTCACCTTCTCCCTGACTCCAATCACAAATTGCCATCTGGCCCATTACGTTAACTACGTAAGAAAGATTATGTAGATGTAGTATTGTCCCTTCTGTAATGCAGACACGGACTCTGGGTCGTTTCCTTTCAGACTGCAGCGTGTAGTCACACTGTATAACGGTACGTTGCTTAGTCAAAATGAAGCCAGCAGCTGGTAGGAGTACTAACCAAATCGTGTAGTAATCTGAACAGGAAAAGGAGCCTTCTTACTGTGGGATTTTACACATGAAGACATGACAAGGATTGACGAGTGCATCAGGTTGGCTGGCTGGCTGGTGACGAAAATATAATTTGATCCGATGGACCAGATAGCGAAGGCCGATCTGATTCAATGGCAATGGGTACGCATGCTCCTTTTCATATACAGTATATTTTTTGAGCCTCAGCGCGTCGTTGTCAGTCGACATTTGAGCGTCGGCAACGTGTGGCAGCAACGAAGTTGATGACGAAAATAATTCGGGGGACATGAGGACCATGGGAACTGGGCGGTTTCATTCGCTTGAAAAGAGGAAGGCCACCTAACTGAGTCTATGTGGGTAAACAACACAGAAGACCATCGAATGACGCCCGAGGGTTTCACATACTGAATGACTTGCGCAAGGCAACAAAGTATCACAACGATAGGGCAATGCTACAAAACCATGATGAATATGAATGGGATCTCATGACAAATGAGCTGAGAACAAATTGTGTGAAAAGGCTGCATGCCAAATTGCAGAGTTAGCTCGTCCGTTAATCTCTGGCAAACAAATTGCCTCGTCCGCATGCCAAATTCCCCCATCATCTTCTAGTAATTATTTTTTCAGATCTTTTGATGTGGACACGTGGAAGGAAAGGAGTTAATGGAGGATTTGTTGGGGGAGGAAAGGTGTGAGATTGAGCCGGGGGACAACAAGAAGATGAGTCACAGCTCACAAGATCATCTTGCCTTCTTTTTCCCTAGAATATTAGTCCCACTAAGGGCATGACCAATGCATAGCCCCAGGGTGATGCCTCACATGCCATGTAGAATCGGATACAAAAAAAATAGGTTCGAATGGGGAAGCGGAATCCTCTTCAAGAGGCGGGTGCTTAGAGACAAAAAGTGTGGTCCAGTGCATAAAGTTAAAAAAGTTGAAATGAAGAAGAGGGATACATGTGTAGTGAAAGTCACTTTCTATTCTTTAATGAGGTCTACTAGTAGTACTTGCATTGAGAAGAAAAAATCAACACATATGCTTCAAATTACTTTTTGTCATGAGGCATAGGTATCCATATGCCACCATTGTACATGCCCTAACATGGACTACTTTACCATTTTGATGCTACCGTATGATCATATCTGCAGTTACTGAGGGAAAACAGCAACAACAGCAAAATAAAGTTACCTCATGGGCAGAGATCGCACATTTGCAACAGCCTCATCCACCGAGGAGACGCCCTCTTTACGCT